CTCTGCCGCTTGTAACGACCTCTGCCGCTTGTAACGACCTCTGCCGCTTGTAATGACCTCTGCCGCTTGTAATGATCTCTGCCAATTGTAACAAACTCTGTAGACTATAGCGACCTTTGACACTTGTAATTAACACTGCCACCTGTCGGTGGTGCTAGTAGGACATAAGAATGCTTCTCTAGTTTAATATTTTATTTTACTTTGTATTTTCAGTTGCAATTTATCTGTTTCCTGTTAGACTACAGTGACTATAATTGCGAAGTTGAACTTCCTGTTTCTGTCTCTGCCTGCAGGTGTCATCAGGATCAGTTAAAGGTACATTTCTTCTTCTCTTGTCTTTGTTTGTGTCATTGTTTCGTCCTCTCCTTCGTTCACTGTGTCTCTCTGATCAGCTGTAGAGGTCAAAGGTCACAGCAGCCGTCAGCAGACCAGGCCAGCCACAACCTCAGGTCAGATAGTTCAAGGTGAGACTCTACTGGACTCTACTGTGTTCTGTAATCAGATTACATTACTGGGATTATAGTAATCCTATTTCTGTAACTGTTTAGAGATTACAGTAGTTAGATTACAAATCATATTACAGTTATCGGATTGTATAATCAAGTTATATTTATCGCAGTAGAGTAATCATATAACAGTAGTCAAAGGTCAAAGGTCAAAGAAAACTTTATTATCCCCGAGGGGCAATTTGTTGTGCAGCCAGCAATCTCACACATAAAAAAAAACAAAAAAAACAGACACATAATGACAGCAGAAGTACAACAACTACATTCAAAGTTAAAGTGCCTTATTTAGGAGGCCAATGGCAGTTGGAACAAAAGAGTTCCTTAGCCTATTGGTCCTGCAGGTAACTTGGCTGTACCTGCAGCCAGACGGAAGCAACCTGAACTCTCCGTGCAGAGGGTAGCTGGGATCAGCCAGGACTGACTGGGCCCTCTTTAAGATCCCAGCCTGGTACAAGAACGTCAAGTCATTTAATGTTAGGCCGGCAATTTTGCTGCACACTTTAACTATGTTATGAAGCCGGCTTTTGTTTATAAGGGTGATTGACCCATACCAGCTGATAAATGAAAATGTTAAAACAGATTCTAAAAAACAAGAATAAAACATTTTCATAAACGTGTTGTCCACATTAAAAGCCCAAAGTTTCCGATAAAAGTGCATTCTCTGGTGGGCTTTCTAGTCAGATTACATTAGACAGAATACAGAGGTTAGATTACACTTCACAAATGACAAATTATAGCAATAACATAACAGATTACAGTAGTCAGATTGCAGTAGTCAGATTACAGTAGTCATGCAACAGTAGAGATATAATAACAGTTGGGTTACAGTAATCAAATTACAGTATTCAGATTACAGAAATTATATTACTCTGCCCATGTTAGTCACAATATGGTGTTAAAATACAGTCAGATTACAGATTACTGTGATCATATTACAATTTAATCAGATTACAATATAAACAGAATACAGTAAATAGAGTACAGTAGTCAGATTGCAATAATAAAATGAAAGCAGTCAGTTAACTAAAATTCATATAGATTATAATATGAACTGAATAAAGTAAATAAACTACTATGATCAGATTAGAGCGGTCAGATGACTGTAACCAGATTAGAGCATTCAGATGACTGTAATCAGATTAGAGCGGTCAGATGACTGTAATCAGATTAGAGCGGTCAGAAGACTGTAATCAGATTAGAGCGGTCAGAAGACTGTAATCAGATTACAGTGAGTCTGAATGGATCAAAGAGGAATCAGTGAAGTGTTGTGATGACCTTCTGATGACCTCAGAGCTTCAGTCTGTACTCTGTCTCTGTGCCCGCCTCCTCTCTTTCCCATTAACCTTTGCAGAGGTCAAAGTTCACAAAAACCCTCGAGTGAACAAACCGAAAGAGGCGACGGACGAGATGAAGAGAGGTGAGGAGCCCTTGACCCTGAATCATTCATAACAACTGGTCATCAGTTTGTTGACGTCCTGCTGATGGAAGCGCCACAGCTGTCAGTGATGATGATGATGGTGATGATGATGATCAGAGTGTATAGAGAACAGTAATGTTCAGCTCATGCAGGAAGTAACCTGACCCTGTGAATAACGTCTGAGTGGTAGTTTTCTGACTTGCAACAGTTTTAAGTTTTAACTTGGTCAGATTAATGATGACGATCGGAGAGAAGCAGTCGTCAGGTCTCGGTCGCGTCCCGCTAACAAACACTCATTGAACCTGAATAAACTGAACAGCAGAGTGTGAACTGTAAACATGGGATGAGACGTGTAAATATAACAAATATAGAACTTAAAATCAGGCTGCATTCACACCTGTCCTGTTGGTTTGTGGTGAGAAGGTGTTCGACCTGGATGTGAAGCAACTGCAGTCACATGACACATTGTTTGGGTTAAACATGAGCATGTTACAGTCCTGGAGGATTATTCATGTGCACCTCCTCCTGTACTGCCTTAATATGCACATTCAGCACATCCAATGCATCAAAACATTGTTTTCTAGTTGGAGCCGCGCCTCGTTTTCAAACTGTATGCTTTGACTAAAATGAACAATGACAGCAATATAGTCCACGATGAGCAGCGCTAAAATCAACCTGCGTAGTTGTCCCTCCATTGTGACATTAGAAAGTGTCACATTTATCTTGCAAGTGTACTCTTCTTCAACGTTTGCTTTACTTCCTGGATTTTTCCCACATGGAAATTCTGACCAATCAAGAGCAGCTTTCTCACACAAGGCATTTGATCTGGTCCTCTTGTAAATGCTGCCGTGAGAACACGAACCAACTCTAGGCAATTATACAACTTTGGAACAACATGAGTCCCTGATTCAGACCAGAGGAGACCACTCTAGGGCTGACAGCAGCCTGAGACACTGAACCAGACAAACATGGACGCCTCCCGTCAGACCACATCTGCTGTTAGAGTAAAGAGGTCTTAGTGGACCAACCACAGACCTGGTCAACAATCAACTGGACTCTGTTAGTGCAAAGGTGAGATAGAAGTGGGCGGAGCCTCTACGGAGACAGTTTGGTCCAGGTGTTGTGAGTCAGGCGCTGAATGTTGAACCTGGTCTACGTTCTCCCAGCATGCACTGCACGACTGCTTCTCCTGCTGTCCACAGGAAGTGAGTAGAGTGTGTTGAGACGTCCTGTGGACACAAGCAGCATCAGGAGGTCAAAGGTCACAGCAGGTAGACAGGTGACATCAGCAGGAATAATTCAGGTTCATGTCTGACATTTAACCACCTGTCTGTGTGTGTGTCTTTCTGTGTCTTGAGTGTGTGTGAGTCTTTAACTCTGTGTGTGTGTGTCTGTCTGTGTGTCTGAGTGTGTGTGAGTCTTTAACTGTGTGTGTGTGTGTGTGTGTGTGTGTGTGTTTTGTTCACCCTGTGTGACTCCGCCCCTAACCCCGCCCCTCTCCAGCGATGTACTCGGTGGAGATTAAGGTGGAGCGGGACAAAGTGACGGGGGAGACCAGGGTTCTGTCCACTAACACCACACTTCCTGTTGACCTGTCTCACCAAGGGGTCAAAGTGTACGAGGACGAGAGGAAAGGTGACGTCACAGGAAACAGAATGATTAAACTGAAACCTGACTGAACAGCAGGAGGAGGTCTGGAGTCTGATCCTGATCCTGATCTGGACTCTGATCCTGGTCTGGACTCTGATCTTGATCTGGACTCTGATCTTGGTCTGGACTCTGATCCTGGTCTGGACTCTGATCCTGATCCTGGTCTGGACTCTGATCCTGGTCTGGACTCTGATCCTGATCTTGGTCTGCACACTGATCTTGATCCTGGTCTGGACTCTGATCCTGATCCTGGTCTGGACTCTGATCCTGATCCTGGTCTGGACTCTGATCCCGATCCTGGTCTGGATTCTGATCCTGATCCTGGTCTGGACTCTGATCCTGGTCTGGACTTTGATCCTGATCTTGGTCTGCACACTGATCTTGATCCTGGTCTGGACTCTGATCCTGATCTGGGTCTGGACTCTGATCCTGATCCTGGTCTGGACTCTGATCC